TACATTTTTGTCTCACTTGAATGAAATTCTTCGATTTTCATTTAATCTGTTAAATTTGGAGTGTGTGATGCGATCATTTATTTTTTAACAGTCACTGCACAAAATATTCGGGTCGCCTGGTAAGATATAGTGTATAAACAGAATTTAGAGTAGACAGGCGGTTTCGAAAGGGAGGAAAATATATGGACGATAAATTACACTCGACGTAGACTTCAGCGGAAACATTATAGACTAATGTCTAACGGTTACGATTGGATTGAATGCGGCAAAAATCCGGCTTTAAAAGCATATACACGCTCGTTCCTTTTCCGAAAACAATTACGGAAATAAAACAAATATATATATATATTCAAAAACATCCCCAACCCGAGCAATAAAACCGTCGTGGATATAATACTCATTTGTGGAAGAGTCCACATAATATATGATATAATATATAAACAAAATATATATTTTTGTTATAATATATTGTACGTAATATACAGAAAGAGTTTTAATTGTTTTGAAATTTATCCTTTGGGTGAAATATTTAAATATTATTATAATTTACAATTTTATATTTTCATACTTCCGTTTCTTTTATATAGGTACCTACTATGCGTCGCCACAGAAGTGTTTTTTTTTAAACCTTGACATATCAACTTAATGTACAAAAGCGTGCTGACCTGTGTAGGTACTTAGAGCATAATTAATACAATTATTATACAAGACAAAATGTTTCACGAAAGCTTAAATACTGTGATATGGTAAATGCTATATGGTCACTGCCACACTGGAAATCTATGTGATACCTATCTCGGAAAATTGACGGTAGGTATGTAATATATTATACCTACCGTCAACAGTATATTATCTATTATACCTATCGGTATCCTTTGGATATAATCGGTTTACTTTATAATTATAAATTCAAATTCAACTATAAGCATATAATATATACACGCTTGTAAAAAAAAAAAATTGAATTTCAGCTTATGTAAAGTTAGGTAGCTGGTTATTATTGCTGCAGTGAACTAAGTGTATAAAATAGTAATTTGATCAGTACACGTCTGAAATGTATAGACGATATTATGTGCCTACTACACGTTTATTACTTTTGTGAATTTCGTCGGAATCCAAACGGAAACGTGTGTCGATGCGACGACAATATTATCATTTAGCTAGGTTCTTATTGCGCTTTACAAATAAGGAAGGCTTCGAGGTTTACGTGTTTCTCACCCCTTCAGTATTTATTATATTCTTATTATTATTATTGTGTAGGTATACGGTTACGACGCTTTTTTTCTCGCGAGCGGTAACAAAAGTCCTTCCACATAAGTATAGTATTGTAATTTTATAACGTAAAAAAACCAACTTTTTTATCGTACCTGTGCGTAAAAGATAAACGCATTATGTGCGTCGTAAACTTTATGTAGATATTATTTAAAACTACTAGAAAGAAAAATAAAACACCGTAATGTCATATTCGTTTATTGGACTCGATATCCCACGATGGTCCCGCCACTGACTAACCTGTAGTAGAGGCTGTCTGTTTGCGCACTTTTCCAGACATTTTTTAAGTTTTTCTATCTCTTTTTTCTTACATACTTGATACTATGTGTATAATAATACTACCATATTGCAGAAAAACATGACGAATTCATCTCTTAGACTTGTGGTATGCCCGTATTTTCGAAAACAAGTAAAATAAACAACTTATGACTTAACCAATAATGACTCATAGGTGAACTTCGGGGTGGGTCCAGGATTGTATCAGCTCCAGAGCTCGAAACCGATTGAAAACATTTTTCAAAGGTTTCAATATTGTATACCGGTTTTTTTTTTTGAGAATGAACAACGATCCGCCGCGTGGCTATAATCTTATTAGGGTCTGTATATGAAATATTTCATTTGAAATTTTTAAATATAAATAATATGGCTTATAATATATTATATTGTTTCATAAAAAAATTATACATATCCTAATATAGATGATTAGTGTTGATTTGTAATTACTGATTATGCATTGCAAACATTGATAGGTAGTGAATGATTTCGATATGATAGTTGTAGTTCAGAATTACCAGGTGTTATTATGGTTATAACTTTATTCATAACTCATGAGTTATCATTTATCCATTACAGCTTATCTATTATTAATTTGTGTAAATGAATTGAATTGTTGACTAATGACTATTGAGTTTTTTTCAAATTTTCCCTTTGTTAAAGTAATTACCCATAACATGGTCATATTAATAATAATAAACAATAACTTATAATAATCTAAGAAATAAATAGGTATCTACAAAATTATAATATTATAAAATATCAATCATTATATTTTATTTTAGATTTAGAATGTGTTATGCTGCTATGAGTTATGATTATGAGCTTGTGATTTATGAGGTTATGTAGTTATATTTAAGTTGTTTTAGATTATGATAGAAACTTCTTTAGATTAGGTATTTAAACAGTTTTTTTTTAACCAAAGATTTATTTTATTTTCCCCTTATTCACCTATTTCATATCACTTTACAACTAATTATACTATTTAAACATTTCTCGAGACTTTTCAAGAGTGCATACGTGTTGCCACAGTGGTGTAGTTATTTTAAAGTGCATGACCAAGGGTTTTGATTTTTTTATTTTTTTACTAATTTATTTATTTATACACCAAATGTGTAGGTCATTGATGCAACTTGAACAAAGGTTTGAAGGGTATTCGCATGCAAGATCAAATATGCAGTGTCCACGGGGGCAATATAGGAGTGGTTGGTTTGGCCCGTATCCGTGCGGGATGGTCGACATAGATCGCTGTCCCTAGGTAAGAGACTTAAACCATTGACACTAAACATAGATATTATTCATGAATTTTCAGTGAGATACCTGAAATCGGAACCTGCGAAAATAGTGCACGCCGGATCCCGTCCAGTTTTCACCTACCATTTTGCGAATAATTCAATCGTGGATGGCCAGACGCCACTAGTGTTATACGCAGCAGTAACGAATTATAGGTAGTTCCTGGCGTTTATCCCCTTCCCCTTAATTATTATTATTGCAATTATAATAAACTTCATTAGGTGTATAATATACAACGTTTATCACATTTTATATTGGGTAAGCTATTATTCTGCGTAACGTCACCTAAGTACTAAAGGGTTTTCTCTCGTTTACGACCACGCGTTATATGGCTACATACAGTGAAACAAACGGACTGGAAATATTAGGATGAACCTAAAGAATTGACGTGAAAACCTTTTCGCGATTTTATTATTATCTTCATTACTCACACAACACACGCAAGTTAAATCTCGTTGAATTCGACTCATCGCGACTTTGTTATTTTGTCGTTATCGATATAAGCTAATTATACTAATAAAGTTGAGTCACATCTCGTTCCGATGACGATTCGTAGTCATGCCTCGTAGTGACAATAATTTTAAAAATTCGTATTTTACCGACGCATACGGACATTTATCGAATAACATAGGTAATAATAATATATAATATTACACATGTCTATACCTTTTACACACATAGTTATTAATGTTGCACATAAACGTCGTTTGACCTGCCATTTAAATTGTATACTTATTGTTAATCAGTACAGTATACGAAAATTAATTGTTCAAAGGCCAATGATGCATACGCTTGTCCATCGTACAATATTCTATGTATGGTATAAGTATTGTCCGTTAAGGTATGACGTTATAGAGTTTATATTTTATTACGTTTTACGAAGCTGGTGTTTCTTTAGGGTTTCTTTCTAATAAAAATGTATAATATTATATAGGTAATTTTTTACATGATTTAACTTACAATAATATACCATTATCAGTATCAACATATTGTTATACTTTTTTTGCGTTTAATATACCATTAATCATTAATATCGCTATTCAACTTATTTACTTATCCTTTGAATGGATTTTTTTTTTTTTTTGAAACTTTATCATAATAAATCAAATAATTACAGATGTTTGTTTTTATATTTATTTCAATGTTATCACAAACATAGTAGGTATTATTATTATATTCATTTAGAAATAAAGACAATAAAGATAATTGGTAATAATTCTGGACATCTAGAAATTCATCAAAATTATAAAAATATTATTTATTTATATTTTATAATATAATATACTTAATTTCTATTTAAACATTTTTCAATTATTAACAGGGATTGAATTGTTCGATTTTAATTTCTATTTGGCTTATTGATGTAGGTTTTTCTTCTGTTTTAAATTAGAAATAAAATATTAAGTACATAACATTATGATTGTTATATTGTTGTATAATATAGATTAATTTGTTTTCTCAATTTTAATTAGATTTCAAACGTAGTTTTTGCATTTAAGTATCACTTAATATATAAAATATATAATTTATATTATATACATATAGGTACCTGTTATATATTTTATAAGAAATATATAACACTTTTTTATAGAAGAGAAACCTATTGCACTGACTGCCGTCATAAAGGAAAAAGAAGTCGCACTGTTGGAATATTCTGATAACTTAAAAAAAATTGAAAGATTAACTATTTATTTGTTACGTTTCCGCAATCGACTAAGGGATAAAACATTTTCATTTACCACTACACTTCCGACTTCTGAAGAGACAGACCTTGCATTGCAAGCCCTCGTGAGATGGGCACAACACGTATTTTTTGCCGACGACATCAAGCAACTTGACCAGGGCAAACCATGTTCAATGCAATTACGTAAACTTGCTCCATTCCTGGACAAGCATGGTCTACTCAGAGTGGGTGGTCGTTTAGTCAATGCGGAGATGGCATACAACAAAAAACAACCCCTTTTACTGCCCAAGTATTCACGTCTTACTGCGTTACTAATTGACCATGTTCATTGTTCACAGAACCCAAAGTCATCCCGGACCTCAAACACTTCAGAACATCTTATGTCAGGATTATTGGATGTTGTCGGCTCGTAGTATTGTCAAAAAAACATAAATGTATTCCATGTTTTCGAGTGAAACCACGCATGTCGCAGCCGGTCATGGGAAATCTACCACCACACTGTTTAGCACAAACCAAACTTTACTCAAAAGTTGGAATTGATTTTGCTAGACTGTTACTAGTTAAGTTGCCATGCTGCGAAAAGTTAAGGTAACAAAAGCCTATCCTACCTAAGCCTAACCACCGCTATCCATATAGAGCTTGTATCTGACCTGTCTACTCCATTTTTTATAGCAGCGTTTTAACTAGAGTTAAAATCTTGGGGGTGCTATAAAATATTATGAATATCTCACATAACTAGTCGTGGGGGCGTCTGCCACACACCCCCCAATATTCTATATTGCCAATATTTAGATTTTACTATTATTCACAATTTATTGTTCCACAATAATTATTGTTAAATATGCACTCAAAAATTTAAAAAAACTAAATAACTAAATAAAATTACAAAATATATTTTGTGGGTATGTTAATAAAAAATACGATTGAAATTGTCAGTACACTTCTGCTTACAAATTAATACAAACTACTGTTTAAATAAATAAATGAAAAACTAATAGAACATGGAATAGTAAATTAAAGTAATAAAATAAGCTAAAAATAAAAAAAAAAATCATCAACTATTCATAAAAAATGCAAATTTTATGTTTGTAATTATATAGAAATATGCAAATGATAGTCACTTTTACCCAAGTATGCAAAAATATGCAAAAAAAAATTTTATCATAGAATCTACACATAACAAAACATCAGCTTTTCGAATCAAATTAATTCTTGGTGAATTGTAAAGAAAATACTTTTCCATAAAAATCTGATCCTCATATCACAATCATAACTACCAATTATTAGAGAAAAAATGTAAACACATTTTATTATAGTATTAATTTATGATATTAAAATTTAAAGTTTTAAACATAGTTGGCTATCGATAGCAGCTAATGTGTTGAATATTTGTTCTAGTATAGTGATCTCTAAATTTAAAGGTTATTTATTAAATTATTTGGTTAGTTCTTTTATGTTTAGACGCTTTAAAAAATAAACGCTATAAATATTTTAAACTATAACGACATAGAACATGGGGTTGCTTAAAATTAATTGGGGGATGCTTAAGCACTCCTAGCACCCCCGTAGTTGCGCCACTATCTGGAACCAATTTTGTGGGTAAGCATAGGTATTTAAAAGAAATCGATGATATTATTCACCAGTCTAACTACGCTCAACACTCTTCAATCTGGAAAACCAGATTAAAAGGCATTTTATTCCCCCTTACAGCTCCTAATATAGATGGTCTCTGGGAAGCTGCAGTTAAGTCCGTAGAAACCCTGCTCCACCGAATCATAATGCATCGAGTGTTAACCTACGAGAAACTGAATACAGTTCTAAACTATGTAGAAGCAACACTCAATTCTAGACCACTAAGTGCAATGTCTTCAGACCCTATAGCGATTTCAAAACGCTGACCGCTGGACATTTCTTAACCATGGAACCTCTAATCGCCATCCCAGCACCTAAAGAACCAGACCAATCCACAATGATAAGTATAGGTACGTCAATCGTCCAGCAAATCCAACATCATTTTTGGAGTAGGTACCTCCATACTTTGCAAGAACAAAAAAAATGGACTCGAGTCATCCCCAACCTTCAGATCGGAGACCTAGTTATCATCGAGGAGCCCACACCACCTCTCGCCTGGAAGACAGCAAGAGTGATTGAAGTTCACCCTGGGATGGATGGAGTTGTCAGAGTAGTCAAAATACAAATCGCAACAGGCAAAGTGCTAACCCGGCCAGCAGTCAAGTTATGTCCAATGCCACTTCATGATTGAAGACTCGTCCCTTCAACTTTCAAGGTGGGTGGTATGTTTGTAATAATTATATTACCGTATTTATATTATTGTAATAGCGTATTTATAATATCTGTATTTATATTGTAAATGGTTCTGGAACATAGGAAACCAGCGACGAATCTCCGTGACTAGTCAGTACTCACCTCGTATAAGGACCTCGACCGGTAGTCGGTACCATTACCGAAAATATCGTTTGTTCTGTTGTTAATTATTAATTATTATTCAACTATAAGTTTATTATTATAATTGTTGTGTTTACTAAGTTTTTTAATAGTAATCAACGCCATTACCAAAACAATTGAGTATACTTCATTAACTTTTCCTATTCCAATTCCTAATTATTTCAGTCTTACCGACCACAAAACCGAACATTACATTTTTTTTAAATTATTTATTGATTTCTAGACATATATTAGTTTATCATTTTGTTTTTATTAAATCTTAATATTTTGTGAAATATTTATTTATTTTATTGTTTTTATTTATAAGCTAATTACTATATAGCACCAGAATTAAGAAATACTTGATTATAAGATTATCATATGCAGTATGATGTTTAAGATCAACAACTAATAGGATATGCCTGTTTATGTCTACTACAAATATATTATAAATAAGTGAAAATATAATCAATCAAAAATAAAAAGTATAATACATTTATAGTTAGGAACTAAAATATAAACTTTTATTACAAACCATTTATAACTGTATAACTGTTACAATCAAACAAAACAACAATGGTTTAAAAATAAAATACTATAACCGTACAATTTCTAATTGTTGTCATCTTCTGTATAGGTATGTTATAACGAAATTAATGTAATATTGACAATCCAGTTGCATGGTTTGATTATACTTGACATACTAAATGGCTTAAGTAATTATACCTAGCTCCATCCTTGGTCCAGTATCTTGGAGGTAATTTTATTAATAATAATAGTATAAAAAATAATAAATATGCATAATAAACTTAATGTTTTGGAAATTGGCATACATCAACATCGACCTTTGAATTGGTAAATTATTAATAATTTATTTATTATATATATCTCTGATGAATAAACATCGAATAGTTTATGTGTATAACAATGAAAACGATAAGATAAAAAAGATTCATTGTAATCTACTGAGGTGAGACCGTTCCTGGCTGGTTGAGATAAAATTTAATTATATAGTAGATACCGTTGAATTTTGATTGTTCATTAAATATAAATGTCAACTGGCATACCTTTCGTTATATAAAAAAAAAATGTTCATTTGATACAACCAGGATCATATTATTTTGTGGGAGTTATAAGATAAAAAAAAAAATGTTATCTAATTAATTAATATAGGCATGGCTTGAAACATTTATCGAAATTTTCGGTTACCGCTATTGTAGTGGTAACCAAAATAAATGTTGATACCTGTTACTGGTTTGAAACCGGTAACATTGTTAACGGTAACCTATTACCGGTACTTACTATATTCAATATTATAATAGGTTACCGATTAAGTGGTGACAGCTTCAAAAAAATTTCATTTACCTATAACCGATTGAATATTGGTTTTTTAAACACAGTTATACTACATCTGTGTAGTATAATTTAAGAATAGTTTTAAGAATTTATTCATTATTGAACTATTATAGGAGCTACTCATTATTTAATACGTAGTTAAATTAAATGAAACATATTATTTTAGTTCATAAGTAACGGTAGTCGGTACCCGGTTAATTTAATAATAAATATTATGTTAATTTAACGATTTTTTATTAACCGAAAAATCGTCATGGTAACCAGTAAACAATAACCGGGAATAAAAGTGGGCTTAAAACAACAGTAACCAAATTTAGGTTCCCAAATTTCTGTTAAATTACCTACTGGTTTTTACCAAACATTGTTTAACCTGCTTCAAGCCCGGGATGTAGGTACTAGTAAGTTGGTACAAGCTTCGTAAGTTCTACCTAATTCATAACTATTATTGAATATAAAAAGGTGCTCTGCTGTACAGTAGGTTACAAGTAGGTCGGTGTATAATGGATAGTATTCAATTTCAATTCAATAAAATAATATCATTGTATAAGAAAAACGATTCTGAGCGGAGACGGTATGTCAGTATAGGTATAAGACATATTATATACTTATTTATTGTATTAAAAAAAAATTGACCTATAGTAGGTTATTATAAGTTTTTTTTACGTAATTTCGTCCAAATTTGAACTTAAAATGACTATAAAAATAAACTTTCCTTCTGTATTTTTTAGATTTTTTTTTAACAGAATAAACTACTTACGTGGAATCTCGTTTTAAATTTTCAATCCTTAGATATAAAAGTTGAACATTTTATAAATTTTTTCATAAAAAACTACAAAATTATTATTAAATTTTAAATGTGATAAATTTTTTCAAAATTTGAACTTTAAATGCTTATAAAAAAGAATTGTGAATATGTATTTTTGATATTTTTCAACTGCTATTGTAACAATATATCAGGAGCTTTGTATTACATTTTTATATTATTTGGCCCAACGGATAAAACTTTATTGATATTTATAGAAAAAAAAAAAAATTGAAAATTGAAATTGTTCGTAATCAGCTTAAAAAGAGTCAAAATATTATCAAAATTTGAATGGTGTCTAGGAAATACTAATATACAAGTTCATTAAAATTATCATGTATCTACAGTTATTCGTTTTAGAATTACAACAAAATAAAGAAATCTCTACATGAGAAATCGAGTGAATATCCAATGTTGTAAACATTTGAATTTCAAACGCTCTTAAAAATTTAATTTGACTTTCTTATAGACATTTTTTTTTTTTTTGATAAAGGTAGAAAAACTTATGAGGAACCATGTATTACATTTTTATATATTAGGTTTAAAACGAAAAAATTTTACGAATTCTTAACTCAAAATAATTTTTCTAATTTTCGTGATTCGGTAATAATTTCAGATATTCGACTGTAGGTAGAATACTTGTTAATAAGAGTTTTTAAAATTTAAAGAGATGAAGAGAACTGTACTGATCGGATAGTATAAAGTAGGTGGTCCCTATAGACTTAGACTTATAGAAGATGAGTGGGCAGGCGATCGAGGTCGTTTAGATTCATTCTTATGGTGAATAAAAATTTTTATTTTGTTAGATTCATAGGGGAAGTCATATTTTGTTGATTTGGCACGCTCTGTATACGTGAATTAGGTATTATCAGCGGTGGGACAGTTTTAAATTATTTTGGTTTTTTGGTGGATGACGTTATGTGGGAAGCTTATCACTAGAGATAAAGCTAATTAGCGGGGCCGTCCGAGATGAGGGCCACCACAGTAAATTAGTTGACTACTTATTAATTCAGTTATAAAAATGGAAATAGTGTAGAAGAGAATCCCTGGAGATAGGTACGCTGAATAACTTACTGAATAAATGGTACTGTTTGATACTATAAAGTTTTTTAAATGGAAAAAACCATACATCGCATGAAAACGGTTTAACATTGTTTCATATTATTACATACTTTTAAAAATTTTCTCTCGTTTTAAATACAAACCTAAATATATAAATTAATTTAAGATCCATTTTTTTTTTTTAATGAAATATATCATGGAATTTTAAGCTCTAATACCGTAATGGCCTAATATGTTTTTAAAAACAAGTAAAATAATTATCTACCTATGTCATATACATATATATAACATATTTACAGAGCGTTTAACCACACATATATAAATTATCTACTATACCCCTTCCCTTTCATAATAAACTTTCAGTTAGAACATTTGTGTATAAAAAAAAATAACTTCAAATTTCAAATTTCAATTTAGTATCAATTATTGACTTCTATATAAACAGCACTTATACCTACAGCTGTACCTTGCTAGAGACAAGCAAAAACAAAGTGATCTATTCAGAAGCAAATTCGTGAGAGTATAAATTCCAATATTTAGAAACTATGCGACAGCGGTGTTGTTCCAACCCTTATCCAACCATCTATCAAAATTATCTACAAGATAATGATTCACCAACAATATTGATGTACATTATGTTACGATTTTTTTACAGGTAAACTGTGCATCATGACCAGGGTTTAGGGCTGGTTTCCAGGAACTGGAACCTTACTAAAATAGACCGGTTATGGATCAAAGCCGGACTTTAGCCCTCAAATACATTTGTTTGGGAACCGGAACTGACAATGCATGTCCTCCTCTCTTAAAAAAGAGATCCACTCCCTTAACTCAGTGACCTCTCCAGTTACTCCGCTAACATTTGAATTCATGATCAATGGCATATTTACAAACTTATTATTTATGTATTTATTTTTATTTTATTTTTTGTTGGGGGGGGGAGGAGTCATAATTATACATTCGTAATATTGAAATAATTTTATAAAATGCTTAAACTCAATTTTAATCTGTTTTTTTTTTCATCTAAAAATTGTTTAATTTAATTAATTTACATACAAATAAATGAGAAAAATTACTTATGCCTAATCATTATTTTTATATTTTAATGAATAATTACGACTGCCTAGGTAATATAGCTGCTCTTAAATTTTGAAACCTATTATACAGCAGAGAATTCATCTGTTTTTTGTTTTTGAAAATCGAACCCATACTATTTTGTTTATTCTATACATTTTTTATAACCATTTTTCCTACATTTCTTCGACCTTTTTTTGTCTGCTTATAGTCAATTTTCATAACGAGAAGACATGTTTCTATAATAATATATTATTAAATTTAAAATAAAGTTGATGCAAACATTGAATGATTAGGTACCATGATTTATTTTCTTCAGTATAATTTAAATAAATTATATAATATGGTAATTACTTTAAAAAAACTCCATAGTCTTATGCATTAATTCAAATAAGTCCAAAATCAAAATGGATTTTAACTCTTTTATTTGTGTGTAGGTTTAAGTTTAAATTTTTCATTTTCATCGAAAACTTTTAGAAATTAATATAGTACTTAATATTAATATTTACTCTTTTTTTTGACAATAGGAGAAATGGAAGACCTATTGTTACACTTAGTAGAGTCTGACCTAACAAGTTATGAACCTGGGATCGACGGGGGCTATGTATATAATTACCTCTCTATAAATACCAATATATAAAATATATTACCATTCAGCGACCAGTGATAGATGTAAACTGAAGTTTATGTATAAATATATACCTATACCTATAATATCTAGGTTTGTCTAAAAAATCCATATCCGAGTAGTCATCAGTTGTAATGTTTTACCTTCGTGAGTCGTGACGATGTGTTTTGTTTGATTATTCGATATCATTCTCGAGGGTTTGAATTATTTTTATTCCCAGACCCCAGTGCCCATTTATTTTCATTGAACCCTGAGAAAGTCCGATATAGTCACGATAGCAATTTTCATTAAAATGTGTGTAGTGTACATAGCCTATGTCAGGTGGACTGATACCAATGTAATTTAGATCCATTATGTAGCGAATATACTGCACCATAACAATTTTAGATATCTAATCAAAAAAGTGACTATGAATAATTTTTCAATTTTCGTTTAATTGATGTTAAAACACCAATAGATTCTTTACAATTTAAGGAAATAAATGTAGTTCTGTTTATGAAAATTAAATTTATTATGGTGCACGCATGATTAGGTACTATAGTAACTATAGGCAGGATGAAAATCGATATTAGACAACCCTATTGTGTATTTCTTGCACAAAGCAAAGTTCTTATTGTTGGGCATATTAATATAAATGTATGTAAACTCATAAAGTATTATTAAAAAATAGTTATTTTAAAAATCAAAATTACTCCCATGTTATATGCGTTGGTATGTATGTACTTAATTATGTTTAAATTTGATTAGTACTTAATAGTGATAAGTGACAACATTAATAGTGGTGGAGATTAATAATTTAATTTAATGTACAGTAAAGAATCACTTCAAAGAGGTTCGTCTGGTAATAAAATTGCATATATAAATCCGCCGTAAATCGAATCTAGACGCGATATACCTACTGTCTAGCATTAAATTTTGTTAAATAAATAGATTTTGTGTCGATAGTACTTACTCGATATATGGTCAGATTCTAAAGTCATCACATAAGAGGGTACAGCCTAATCGAAGATTTATGAGAAATGGCTAGTTGCAACTACTCCAAAATTTAAAATATTGTTTTGTTTCATGAATATCAACGTGAGTTTGATTCTCAAAAATATAGGTACTTATCAAATATCAAGCATCAATAAATAAACTTGTATATATAATATATGGAGCTTACTGTCTATTATACTATAGTTTATAAAAAAGAACGCCTTCAGCCATTTTTCCAATGATATTTTAATATCTTTATTTTTAGTCAAAATACTATAATGCGTGCGTATACCGACATTTTCTGACTTTTTATGTATTTTTTATCATGAATATATATCTATGAATTCTATTATGCAGTATAATATTGTATTCTATTATAAGTTACCACTTACCATATTTATAAAAAATAATAATTTTTTAACAATTGTACAATAACGGCAGTTGTTTTATTAAATTGTATTGTTCATTTATCGTAGTACACATTTAATTAATTTTTATCTCATTATTGAACTATAGCCTATAGGAGTAAATGATTTATTATTTTTTAATAGACTAGGTATTCAAAATTGCAGATTCGTTCAAGATTTGTTCATTAGACAAACATCGGCCAATTTAAATTATTAGTATATTTTGATATCCATCCTGATTCATGGAAGTTCGAAGTCAATTCTTAATCTTCATAATTGCAGAGAACGACGTTACGAAAGTCTCAGAGCTGATCGGAATTGTTAATGATTCATTAACATTAATAATGAATACAGTTTATACAAATTAGTACAAAGCTCAGCATCTAAATGATTAACTTAAAATCGTCTAAAGTGAACGCTGGGTTTCTATTCGACAAACAGTTTTTACTACAAGAATTTTTAACTCAATTATTTTTTTCTTTATAGTTGTTAAAATAAATTAAAAACCACATTAAAAAAAAAAATTAAATCATTAGATGGAAAATCTCACAAAAATATTAATTTATTAATTCATACCGTTGGCAGTACGTCGGTATTGACTATAAGTTAAGACAAAAAAAATATATGATACCTATAATATTATAAGCATTATCATACAATATAAAATGCACACAATGATTTTAGATAAGAATATTATTTCAATATAGGTACCATATTAAAATATTAAAATAAATAACTAATTATTGTAGTATGAATAAATTATAAAATATCCTTAAAACAGAGGCTTACACACAGTTCGTGATCAGAGTCATATTTTGTAGTACCTTTGCGTTGATGTATCATTTAATTTAAATTCAACACATTTGTTACAGAGATCTATTCAATGATGAGGTAAATTCAAAATCTATTATACAGGAGAGTGACTTCCCCAGTTTTTATTATATTATTATAGAAACAACGTGTAAAAAATTTTGCAGTTTTTTTCCAATACCAACGCATAGTATGTTACGTATGTATATGTAGATAATTTTATTTTATTTTTTTTGTTACTGATTGTACGTTAAACTTGTGCCTTGAGGTTACAGTGGTACAGAACGGAACGTGCAAGTGATAATTTAAGAGAATAATATATAGCAATTGAATAGAACGTTAACTACGTTAAACTATTTATGTTATTGTGAATATTTAAATGAAAATAATTCCTATTGTGATATAATTTATCGACTATAAATAAAATGGACCTGTGGAACAATATATAAAAAGTCTATACACATATGCATTTTATGTACATATATTCTTCGTGGAGTCGAGTTAGGTCAGTGATTTAAATGAATAAACGGTATATTGTCACAGAGCCCGTTGGTAAAAAAGAGAAAAAAATAACATTTAAATCCCTCGGGGTTCGCCAACACATGCTATCAGCTTTTGATACTTTTCCTTTTTCCGCACTCGTATTTGTTTGTACTGCTGCTTTTGCCGTCCGAAATAACCTTTGGCGAACCCTCCCCCCTCCCTTTCCTCGGGTCTTTCCTACACCACCGAACTGACTCGGTATTTTATTCTGGCGGGTGTTTCTTTTTATAAATGTTTTTAAATATTACATAATATCGTGCAACTACTATGGCGTTGAGCATCTATAATATTATATTTATAGCAAACTATATTGTGTTTAGGTACTGCAGTAGGTAAAAAACTAGATAATACGTATTATATATTATGTATATAAATTTCGTGCATAGGATGTAATGCAGTGTTTGGCCTCGTCGGCCATCGGTAACATTTTATTTTAAATGATGTGTTTTTTTAAAAAGATACAACGTTGTCAAAACATTAATGTACATAGGTCTCTCTGTAATGTAAGTATGTAATATGTATAATAAATGATTAAATTCATAATATTATTTTCTCCCCCGACGGGACCCACCTTGACGTGGTGGGGAAGCTTGCGGGCCTTAAATGGCTTTACCAAGCGGTCCTATACCCGGCTGCGACCTTAACCAGTCGTAGTCGGAGCACAGAGAGCCGGTTCTTATCTTCACTGGTAGGGATCGGCAGGCTCGGAGCCAGCCTGCACACACTTGCAAAGGCTCTGAACCGGCCCTGACCTTAACCAGTTGGGGCCGGCAAGGTCGGAGGTAGCCTGCTCCCGGACGAGCAAAGCCCTAAGGGAAGGAAATCCCCGACAGAAAAACCAGGCTAGAACTGTCCTCAACAGTCTCTCCAGAACGTGATCAACTCTAGAGAAGCAGCACGATCAGGACTCAACGGACCGGACACAACGCAACGGGGGCCCGGTAAACCCCCGCCAAGGCACCGACCATCCACGGAAGCGGCGACCCGTGGATTACTAGCCGTTTGAATGATGGAATCAAAACTAAATGAAAATTGTACCCCAGGTGGTGAACCGGCCAAGCCGGGGAATCCACTCTCCGCGGAGACAGGCCCCACGGATTCTGGGGGGGGCCATTCATCAGTCAATCAACAACCGAGCCAAAAGCTCAATAGCAAAGATAAGCAACTTGCAGGGACTCTGCAAGAGAAACTAATTGCCTCAGCGTCCAGCCAGACGTCCACTGGAAGCGAAGCAACGGAGGAAGAGGCAAACGCTCGATTCTATAAGTATCTTCAACAAATATATGCGACGTCTAAAGAATTGGATGCAGAAGTGGCCTCCACTCCCAACACCAAAAAAGAGATTAAGAAGATGATAGTAGATCTGGCGCATGGTGTAAAAGGGCTTATCACATGGGGAAGGCTCACTGGAAGAGTAAGACCCGTCGTTAACACCAGGGGTAATCAAACTGAACCGCCGGCGACCCGCGAAAAATCAGTACAAGCCGATTTCGATGCTCCGAACAGAGAAGTGGGTGAAGTGGCAAAAACCACTGTTGCAACAGACGTGGCCGTGCCGGCGTTGGAGGAGACGCGTTCTGCAATTAACGAACTCCGAGTGCTGATGGAAAAACAGGGTGAAGCACTGGGGGAGCTGACAAAACAAGTACAGCAGCAACATCGACGGAACCCCTACGACGGCGGTAGGAGAGGCGCACCCACAAGAAACTCGCAAAAAAACGAAGACAAACCAACAGAACAATACGATGCGGCGGAAAACGATAACATTTCTCTACAACTAGAAGTGGACCGAACCGAAGGCCCTCGAGACGATAGTGGTTGGAAAACGGTCCAAAAGAAATATACAAAACGTCCAAGAAGCCCCCGAAATGAAAAACGGGAAGAAGTACGTACCAGAAACAGATCAGACGTCGTAATTGTTCAAACAAAGCCAGAAAACTACTCGGAGGTTCTAAAGAAAATTAAAAGTGGTGTAAACATGGAGGCAATCGGAAACAAAATCTCCGCCCTGCGACAAACAAGATCAGGAGGAATACTGATTCAAGTCTCTGGTGGGTCCCCTGCAGCTGATGTAGTGCGGGCAGAAGTCTCGAAAATAGTTGAAACGGACACCGTGATAAGGACACCTAAGCAACAATCACTTGTCGAGTTCCGAGGCCTAGACTCCCTCACAAATATTGACGAACTTGTCGCAGAAATAGTCCTAAACGCTGACACCCCACGGGAGGCGGTAAAAGTTCTCAACATGGAAACACAATCCGCATTGGTTCTTATGCCTTGGGATAATGCGGCGAAGATAACCAAAATCGGACGAATACGTGTAGGTTTGGTGTACTGTAACACCAGATTATGCAAAAAACGAAAACGTTGTTTCCGATGCCTAAAATTTGGACACGAGGCTAGCACGTGTTCAGGCTTAGACAAAAGCAACTGTTGCAGACGTTGTGGAGTTCCTGACCACCTAGCAGTCGACTGTAAGGCGAGCAAAGAGGCAGCGGCTGACTTCAGACGCTCCTTAACACAAGATCCCCAACCTTCAAAATGATTAATTTTTTACAAATTAATCTAAACTGCTGTAAAGCAGCCCAAGCTTTGGTCTCCAAAACTGCCGATGACCTCAATATTGACATCATCCTGGTGTCCGAGCAAAATCAAGCATGTGACCGGTCATGGATGCAAGACCAATCCAAAAAATCAGCCATCATAAACCACAGTCGAGTACAGATAGACGAACTAGGTAAACCGGATATGGGTTTCACTTGGTGTAGACTGGCGGGTACAAAGATATACTCGTGCTACTGGACACCAAGACCGGACATAGCTGCTTTCACAGATTTCCTACGACGTCTGGAAACAAGCATTAAAGCCAGCACCGGGGAAGTCATCGTTTGCGGTGACTTTAACGCTCATCACACCTTATGGGGATGTAACACAAACGACAAAAAAGGTGACCTTCTAGCCGACATGATCCAGGCATCAGGAATGGTCGTGTGTAACAAGGGAACGGATGCTACTTTCCAAAGCGGCAATCGATCATCCATTGTCGATGTAACATTCGCAACCCAACGCACAGCAACCTCCATCACAAAGTGGGTTGTCTTGGAAGAAACATCGTTGAGTGACCATAATTACGTGCACTTCTGTGTAGAGTTCAGCGCAGAAGCCGACATCCAGCCGTGCACAAACATCAAAGTGGTCCCTAGCAAACTGAAAGTATACCTAGACTTAAACCCACTCCCACTGAATTTTACAACCCATGACGTAGATGCGCTAGACTCGGGGCTCGCGGATACTATAACCCAGATATGCGGCTCCCAGCACAGGCCGCGCTTAGGAAAAGCAAGAAGATCGGTTTATTGGTGGTCTACAGAACTTAGCAGCTTACGCAAGGACGCCAATCATCTCAGACCACAAGCGGAAAAGGAAGAGAGCTGGCTGGGAATCCTGCTTAGCTGAGGCAGAAGCAGCAAAGATGGCCAAAGCCGTTCTTTGTAAGGCTATTAAACGTGCGAAAGAAAAAGCCTGGACTGATCTATGTGACCAAGTACAGCGGGACCCTTGGGGAAAGCCATATAAATTAGTTATGGGAAAACTATGCAGAAATTCGAAAATCCCCGGAATCAATACTCCAGGGCGCGCTCAACTGATTATCCAAGGTTTATTCCCGGTAAACGAGGAACGAGACATAACACAATGGCCACAAGACCTTCCAGAAGACGCTCATTTCACTATCGCTGAGCTTAGACACGCAGCAAGTAAACTGAAGAACTCTGTCTCCCCAGGCCCGGACAGAGTACCAAACGAAGCAATGAAGATATTATGCAGGTCACACCCGGAGGCCTTACTCTCCCTGTACAATAAATGTATTGATCAAGGCCGCTTCCCAAAACCGTGGAAGAGGGCGAGGCTAGTCTTGCTACGAAAAGGTGATAAACCTTTGGACGAAGTGTCTTCGTACCGTCCGCTGTGCCTCCTGGACTCCTGTGGCAAACTTTTTGAAAAACTCCTGGATAATCGTATAAGAGAACACTTGGACTCATCGAACGGCCTAGCTGATACACAATACGGTTTTAGAAAAGGACGATCAACTCTTCACGCCATTCATAAGTTAGTTTCAATTGTAGACAACTGCGGCAAGGATGTAAGAGTAGGCGTACTCACCCTGGACATAAAGAACGCCTTTAACTCCGCCTCATGGAAAATCATAATGCGGGAAGCATACGCAAAAGACATACCTCCGTATCTCTGCAGAGTCCTGGATGACTACCTTCACGAACGAAAACTCCAGTACAACTACGGTGGACCCGAAAATGTAGTCGACATTACAAGCGGTGTCCCACAGGGTTCGGTCCTTGGGCCAACCCTATGGAACATCTTATACGATGGACTACTGCGCGAAACCCTCCCGGCTGGAGTACAGTTCCTAGCGTACGCAGACGACCTGGCGCTCATAGGGAAAAGCAAATACACATTTGAACTCGAAAGAATGCTGTCCGCGGGCGCGGAGATCGTGATGAATTGGTTGTCGAACAACGGCCTACAACTTGCAGTCAAAAAGTCCGAAGCGATTATCTTAACAAACACGAGAGTCCACAACGAATTCACAATGATGCTAGGGGGCACACGCATAAACGGCGCTAAGTGCATAAAATACCTTGGTATATACTTGGACACAAAACTCAACTTCACAGAACACGCTAAGCACACTTGCACTAAAGCGGGGAAAGTAGCCAACAACCTCGCCAGAATCCTGCCGAACATAAGCGCAGCGAAACCTAAGAAGAGAAGGCTGCTCGCAAATGTAGTACACTCAATCATCCTATATGGTTCTCCCATCTGGGCTCCCAAGATGAGTCAAAAAGGAAAAACCGAATTAGGAAAGGTGCAAAGACGCATAGCACTGAGAGTAGCATCGGCCTACTGCACAGTTTCTTACAATGCCATACAGATTATAGCAGACATGCCCCCAATTGTATTAATAGCCATCGAAAGACAAGAGATATTTGAAAATTCCGGGAAGGAAGAAGCAAGAAACAAACTAATAAGAGACTGGCAATCACAATGGGACTCGGCCGAAAATGGAAGGTGGACCCATCGACTGATTCCCAAGATAGACCCATGGTTTAACAGAACATTCGGCGAAGTCAACTACAGACTGACCCAAGCTCTTAGCGGACATGGCTGCTTTCCTTACTACCTCCAGCGATTCGGGAAATTAGCTTCACCGTCGTGCTGGTATTGCGGTCACGAATCAGACGATGCGTTCCACACCTTTTTCGTATGTGACGCATGGCACTCAAGGCGTACCAGAATGAACACGATACTCGGGCGAGAGATCACGCCAGATAACATGACCGAAGTGATGCGGTCAAGCAAAGACGCATGGAACACCATAGACGACTTCATCAACGAGGTCCTTCGAAAAAAAGAAGAAGAAGAACGAAGGCGACAGACAGCAGACCAGCCTTAAAAAATAAATAAACTAGTTAAGTTCAACTTATGTATGCCGAAGGCAAAAAATTGAGAGAGGAGTAGGGGCCTCTCACTTATGTTGTCCCCCCCAAACATGTGTAATTCCCCTTGAAGTTATTTGAAAGTTATTCAATAAATGATGGTGACTGGGGGGTGTAATGACTAACGTCGGTTCCACCCCCAGTTATCGATTAAAAATGAAAAAAAAAAAAAAAAAAAAAAAAAAAGGTCTCTCTGTAATGTAAGTATGTAATATGTATAATAAATGATTAAATTCATAATATTATTTTGGTTTAAATACTCAAATTCCAAAAATATATAAAACGATTTTAATAATATGTGTAATGTGTATTTGCGTAGATATCATAATATACACAGATAAACAATGTTGAACTCAATGTTAATAATTGTATAGTTTTTTGAATTATTTATTTTCACAAATTGAACAAACAGTGAGTTATGTTTAGTGATGGGGTAGTAAATTCAAGTGGCGATAAGCAGACCGTGGCTTAATATCATAAGAATTAGTACCCATATTATATATGTTATTATTAAAATTATTATTATGACGCACACAGTAATTATAATGACATTTGTACTTATTCGTTAGAAAAGAAAATTATAGTGACTTTGTACGCAATGCTTCTCGACGAATAAGTGAATAATATAATGTTCGACAGAGTAGTTTCCCAACAACTCATTTATTATATTGATTTCGACCGACAATGTTTGCAAATATTTGTGTAAACTGACGACGGTACATGACAAAGCAGGAGACATTTTGAATCATTGAAAATGTCTATCATGTAATAATATTGGTTGGTACCTCATACATCTCAATATTTTATAACATAATGATTGCATCCACGGTATAAGATACCGTTTATTGTTCATTTGTGCACAACTTATTGTATGACGTCTAATGTATGTCACTTACAATGAATTGTGTTCTCAGTACGACGCCACGTGCGCTGTAGGCCACATTCGACACGAGGCAGAATCCTTATAATGTGGATCATTTGCTTTTTGATTGTTATGTCGTGTGCTCCCAGTATTTTTAATTTTCTGGGCAAGGTTTTTGATATTATATTATCAAGTTTAATGGATGGTTTAATAGTCAGAGGTACCTATAATAGGCAAAGTATGTGTAAAGAACCATATTTCATAATTTCGTATTGGATACACTCTTTATATATCCCGTTGTAATAATTATGTAATATGAACATTATATTTTGTGTTTTAGTTTAAAAATGTTGATTATTTGATGATTACTGTTACGTGTCAGTGTTGTAATAAATCCGTTTCCATTTAATAATTATAGAATAAAAATAGTGCAATAAGTTATATTATGTTATAACTGATGATGTGTGCGAGATATATTTTATTGGCTCCAATCACTTGCGATGAGCGCACTGTATATATATTTATACCTTCTATACGTTAGTATAAGTTTTGTATTATAACTTCAGAGGGCAATATTTTTTTAAATACTTAAATGGTTATTATGATATCAAACATGAAAATTCCATACAAAGTTTGTTGAAAAATATTATAATTTATTAAATTTGTCCTGTATTCTTACACACACAGCATTGTTGTAACAGATGTTTGGCTATAGTTTCTGAGTATTTTGTAAAATAATACCAGACCTCGGTGGAACATGAAATTCAAATATAAAAAGTAATAACTAAGTGTTTTTTTTTTTTAACTTTGTTTCAATTCCCTTTATGTGTATACACACAGAGAATCTATATTGAATCAATTACCTGTTCCGGATAAACGATCGTTTATCACAGTTTCGTGACTGTTCGGTTTCACTGTACAATAAATCGCCAAACCAAAATGTTCCATTGTGCCAACACATAAAACCGTCGAATTTCCCACGTCCAAAAGCGAACATTTCAAAATAGACAACGAAATTAATTCGACCGTCGCCGTCCACCATGTACCTATAGCAGAGTTCCTTTCGACTATCCGTCGTATCTGCACAGTGTTTTAACAGTGTTAAATATGTCATATATTGGTAATAGTGGTATACAAACGGTTGTGTTTGGTACATCGAAAACTGCCCACGATACTCACCGAGTACTGAATCAGTCGTCGCAGACGTTTACGGCCAATGACCATTATAATTGCCATTAACACTATACATTGGGTTATTATATATAAATAAATTATAAGCGTACACGGATGTAGCCGAACGTAGAATACGGTCTGGTAGAAACCGTAAAACCTATAAAACATTACTTTTAACGTCGTACGAGTCAACAAGATAAGTGTGTTTTATGGTAGTCACGAACATACACACACACACACACACACACACACACACATACACACACACACACACACACACATACACACATATATTAATACTATATATGTGGGATTGTGTATAACTGTTGCTCGCGTGCCCCGGGCAGCCACTCGGATATATGCTTATATATATATATATAAGCTTTGTGTACTATCAAGTATCAAAAACAGTAATTTCTCGTAATTCAGCTACCACTGAACAATCGGTTGTAAATCAAGTCCCGAGCTATATATCTAAACGTTAACTGTATAATGTGTATAAATATATATATATATATATACATATTATTTTAGTTTCCGCTTTAACTAAAGAGATAATAATAGTAATAATAGTAATAATAGCAATAATAATATAGCTAGTTTAAATTCCCAGTAATTAATCGTAATAAATCATATTATGGCACTCTTAAAATACTATACTAAAGGCAACACAATGCAGATAATTATGGTAGTTATACGCAGTGACAGCTGTTGTGTGTGTGAATATAACAATTAGTTTTTGAAAAAAAAAAAAAACAATTTTATGGATTGCAAAAAAAAAATTGTTTTATTATACACATTTAAGATTCTGAGTAAAGAGATGAATGTATTGGTTTTTTTTTTTTAATCTGTGTGAACGTTTTAGTTTAGAAAACATATTTTGATTTTTAATTTTGAGGTTGGTTTTAGGTATCAAAATGGATCTAGTTGATGCGTCCAGGGGGCAAAAGCAATAAATATCCATTACTTTTCAACATAACCTAAAAATAAATGTTAGGGGGGAACTAAAATTGCTACGCAAAACGAGTTTTTATATACATCGTTTATTTTTATAGTTCAAAAATAAATAACTGTAGAGACTTGAAATTTTTACCAAATATTCTAATATTAGAATTTTATTAAACATGATATAACTTTCAAAATATTTTGAATTAATAGGTATTTGAAATATTCTAATTGTTTAGTTTATTTTCGAATTATGTATGTTAACATTTTCGTTTGTAAAATCTTCTTTTTTTTCACAATATTGCATACATAATCTATACAAATTATTGGACAATGGTCATATAAGATGAAAGGCTATACATGACATGAATTACTTGAATATGAAGCAACCCGTTAGTGACAATTGAGATATTTTCAATTTAAATGATCACCGCAATATTTCCTTTTAAGTCTGCGTTTTAGATTTACAGTAACTGTGAAGGTATGTAACTCTTTTTTTAGTGGATGGGGGTGATTTTCTACTCTGACAAAAAAAATATTGTAGAATAATTCGCTTCAGTTATAGCAAGTTGGATACCGATAGATCTTGGTAGAGGCTCAGACAGCATTTTGTAACAATAATATTATAATAACGTTATCCTAATATTATTCGTGATTATAATGTAATAATAATATTATTAAACAAAAAAAGGTGGGTAAGTGGATGTCGCTCTGCTGTACAGTAGGTTACAAGTGGGTCACTGTATAATGGATGCTATTAAATTTGAATTCAATGATACAATATCATTGTATAAGAAAAATGATTCTGAGCGAAGACGGTATGTCAGTCTAGGTTTAATACAAATTATATACATATCTATGGTATTAAAAAAAAAATTAACCTATAATAAATTCCAAATTAATCATATCACATTATCACAATATCCATTAGGTACTTATAACACGTTATACATCAACATCAACAACAAACCCTGATACTATCATATATATATATAATAGTACACTTTAGAAGTTTCAAGTAGGTACCCATGAATAATATTATATAATCACAACAAAATAACTAGGTTTTTTAATATGTAATTTCGTCCAAATTTGAACATAAAATGACTATAAAAGTAAACTGTGATTGTATATTTTTTAGATTTTTCGGTAAGAGAATTAACTACTTACGTGGAATCTTGTTTTAAATTTTCAATCCTTAGCTATAAAAACTGAACATTTTATAATTTATTAATTACGATGATTAATAATTTTCGAGATTTTGAAAAATTCTATCAAAATTCGATGTTAAAATGCTTATAAAAAAAAATTGTGCCTATGTATTTTTAATATTTTTCAACTGATATTGTAACAATATATAACAACAAAAAATAATATAACAATATATTACAACAAAAAAAGGAAATTGCCACATGAGAAATCGAGTGAATATCCAATGTTGTAAAAATTTGAATTTCAAACGCTCATAAAAATTTAATTTGACTTTCCGGTAGAAATTTTTTTATTGATAAAGGTAGACAATCTTATGAGTAATCTTGTATTAGATTTTCAAATCTTAGATTTAAAAAGAAAAATTTTTACGAATTCTTAACTCAAAATAATTTGCTAATTTTCGTGATTTTTCCATATTTTGTCAATTTTTGAACTTTAAATGCTTATAAAAAAAATTGTGACTAAGGATTTTTAATATTTTTCATCTGCCTTTGAAACAACATATTAGGAGCCTTCTATTAAATTTTCAAGCTTTCGCAACCAACAAATAAAATTTTATTGAAATTTTTAGAAAAAAAACTAAAAAAAAATGGAAAATGAAAATGTCCCTAAACAGTTCAAAATAAATCAAAATATTTTGAAAATGTTATCGTGTATAGAAAATGCAAATATAAACAACCAGTGAAAATTTCATGTATATACGTTCATTTGTTTTAGAGTTACACCAATAACCAAAATCGATTTTTTGGAAAATCAATTTTGCGT